GACAACCCTGAATGTTCAGTGTGAATAGGCTGCAGATGAAAACCATTCTGTTGTTTTGTGGGTGGTGGTCTGAGGGTTACCCAGAAGTCTGCACACCAGGGGATTGCTGAGTGCCCCGGAATGTAATACATTGGATTATAACTTCCATGAGGGATGCCTTTCTAGCAAGCTCAAGACCCTGAGTTCCAACCCCAGTACAGAAAAAAAAGTTCTCCCTTTTCCTTCCCCAGATCACTCATTAGAACTGGATTCAGGGCTGGGTGTGTGGCTCAAATGGTAGAATACCTGCCCAGCAAGCACAAGGCCCTGAGTTCAAAACCCCTGTACTACCACACACACACACACACACAAAAACCACTTTTATAGTTTGTGTGTGTGTGTGTTCTGCTTGGCTTGTGACCCTCAATATTTTCCACACAGCTGAAATATGTCCCATATTCTTGGTCAATAGAATGTTGCCTATGTCATTTTACCCTGCTTTGCAAACTCCTATCTATTCATCAACACCCAGAACTGTTGTCACCCCCTTCTTGATGGAGCATTCCTCAAATCCCCCAGGCAGGATGTGGTCAATGACTGTCCTGTACCATAAAGGCAGGCTTATCTGCATCCTGGGTCCTGTTTTGACTAGGTATTTTCTTCATTGGTAAATCTGGAATAGCTGCTTCCTGTTATTCATTCTCCTACCTCCAGGGCTAATCAAGATTGGTATTTACTGAGTATGGGAATGACTGTTGCCTATAGGAGGTATGGGACAGGAGCTTGTAGCTTGGCTATGTGGTCTTACTCATGAATGGTCCTTTGCATTTTATTCTAACTTGGGCTTGTCATTGTCTGGCATTTGCTTATATAGTACCCTCTGCCTTCTCTTTCCTTTTCCTTTCCTGCTTGCTCTTCAGAGGCCTTCCTGCCCCCTCCAAAAGAGTCTCCTAGACTCTTCCAAGTTCAGGGCACTCTCCATTTTTGGGGACACATATTGTGGTGTGCTGGTAAACACTTAACAACTATCTCTTGGAGTGTAGTACAGTTCCAACACAAATGTTGGGTGATAATCTTATTTACAGTGAAGTATAAAATGAAAGTGGAACAATGACTGTATGTCCAAACATCACTCAGTTTAAGTGACCTGAGTGACTTCTTTGCTAGATCAGATATGAGTTCATAGGGTGGAAGAATAGTCTCTCGGTTTTCTGTATGTGATTTACAGTCTGACAGCTGAAGACTAGACAGTTTTTAGTTTAATGTGCATTATTGACATTTTTTCCTTCATGTTGTCAAGTCCAGATCAACAAAATAAAAAAGTCAAGCCATGATTTATAGTACTGGCCATAAATTCTCCCTTCATGGCTGATTTCAAGTCCCTAAAGATGTCACCAGACTTGGAGTTAGGAAAAGAAAGGCACAGAAGCAAGCCTGTACACCCACATGCATGTACAACACATGCAGAGGGCACCAAGGCTGAGACAATAGGGAAGATGGTAGAATAACTAGGAAATGATGAGTTATGAGTATTTGTTACCTTTGTTTTTTAACACAATATATTTGACTATAAGTTTGTACAGTTTAGTTTTCAACAACATCTGTGTTGAAACCTGTAGCTTGCAAAATTCCTGAAAATCTCACAAGCCATTGTGAGTTGGCTCCAGCACTGCACTGGCTACATACTAGGAAAACCTGATGTTTCAGAAAAAGTGGGGAGAGAGACCCATAGGGATTGAGTTGCATGGCTGAGTCCTCTCAGCCTCTTCAAAGGGTAAGCTTATTAAGTGCCACTTTACAGCTGAGTGAGGGCTACTGAAGGGCAGGGGCATCTGGAAGTCCTTTAAGCTGGAACCCAAGTGTCTTAACTTTCACCGTCTCTGTCTCTTGGTTTTCCTGCACTGTAGAGGTTGGACGATGAGTTTGCATTTCCCAGACTCCCTTGCAGCTAGAGTATAGGACTTTGACATTAACAGCAATATGCATGTATTGGACTTAGATGTGATGGCAGGAAAGATCTCCTAGCACACAGAGACAGGGGCATCTGGTCTTGTGGGGATAGCTGTGGCAGAGTTTCTAGAATTATGATGGATGTTGCTACTAGCAGAATTTCTGCTAGATAGTGCCAAGGTATGGCTATTGTGACCCTTGGAGAGGAGCTAAGCCTGGTCCCTGGCTCTCCCAGAGATTTCATGAACTAATAAAACACCTCTTGGGCAGGCACCATTGTCTGCAGCTGGAAATCCTTGATTGCTAGAATTTAAACCATGTGAATAATCACTGTAGGGCGTGAAGGTAACCAGAGATCTGCTCATTGAGCCTATTAATCCTCTTTTAGAAGGAATTCAGAGCCTTGTGTGTGTTTGAAGATTCATGAATATTAGAAGAGCAACAGTCTGGGCATGTGTGAGAGAAATATCAAACTGTGACATGGTGGTTATTGGATCTTCCATGGGTCATCTGCTTATTCTACTTTTTGTCCACTAGCTGGCCAAAAATTATCCAAAAAAACCAGACTGATCATGACAGATGCATCCTGGTTTCATATAAAGACACCACTGAGAGCCAGTTGGTATTTAGAAACTTGGAGGCTATCTGGTCCATTCTTCTCATTTTACAGCTGAAGGAAGGCTGACCAAGGCCATCTGGAAGTCCTTTAAGCTACAACCCAAGTGTCTTAACTTGTACTGTCTTTATGTCCTGCCCCCTATTAACCAGTAGAAGTTTTTTATGGTGGAACTAGGGTTTGAACTCATGGCTTCACTCTTGCAAAGTAAGTATTTTTACCACTTGAGCCACACCTCTAGTCCACTTTGCTCTGGTTATTTTGGAGATGGGGTCTTAAACTATTTGCTCAGGTTGGCTTTGAACTGCAATACTCCCAATCTTAGCCTGCCAAGTAGCTAGATTATAGGCGTGAGTCACCTGGTGCCCAGTGTAACCAGCAGAGTTTTTAATAAGTTTTTTGTTGTTGTTATTTTGCTTTGCCTCAAGTTTTGGTTGGATTTGGAAGAACATTCAGACATCTATGAAGGAATGGGAAGAAAGCAGCATACGTGAGTGGACCACCCAAGACCTCAGTGTTTGGGCTTCTTTCAGAATGCACTGGGCAGGACCCCTGAGCGGTCCTTTCCTCAGCCCACTGGCCGTGTTGATTCAGTTAAGAAAGTGGCACATTGTGCATGTCTAGGAACCACTGTTTCAGTAATGAGGATGATGCTGAGTCTCTGGGAAGACTTGGCCTTCATCCGCATGGGCAGGGAGGATGCATCCCAGCAGTGGGGCTAGATTGTGGTGGTTGATCCATTTGTTTCATCATTTTGTTCTGTCTCTTGACCACCAAGAAAGAAAAGCACATTCTTGGAAGCATTGCACTAGGTTGTGCATGGAAGAGGTTCCTTATAGATGTTATTTTCCTGTTTAGTCTAATTCATTTTTCTACCACACCCATTCACACCATTGTCGTATTCAGAGGAGTCCTATTATACACCAAAAGCTCAGTGATGACTGTGTGGAGATGAGGGTCAAATCTACATATTTCTGTTACCTCTACAACCTGTGCCTTCCTATTGTATTTTACTTTGTGCTTTTCCATTTGAAAGAGAAGCAGTAGTCTATTTGCTAAGGCAAATGCAGATTTTATACTCTCTGAGCTCAGATACTAGAAAAAATGGTGTTGCCATTGATATTTTGATTTTTCTTTTAAGAAAGTTGCTAAGGAGGGAAAACCCAGCAAAGCATGCTGTTCCTAACCTTTGTCCAGTATTCAGGTTGAATCTCTTGCTCTCTCTTTCTCTCCCTCTTTCTTAAGACCTTGACCTTCTAGCCCAGTGCTTGACCACTTAAGCCACATCCCCAGTCCTTTTGCCTTTAGTTTGTTTTTAGATGGGGTCTCGAGTTTTTGCCCAGGATGACTTTGAACCTTGATCTTCCCAGTTCTTTCTTCCTTCTGAGTAGCTGGGATTACAGGCATGTTCCACCAGCTAGACTGAATTTCTTACTTGCCAAGTGTGGAGGTTTGCTTTTTGAAAATGTATGGAGTAGCTGAATGAATCAAGGAACGGAGATGAAATCTTTTCTCAGAAGCTGACCTAAGCTGAGTGTTTGGATGTGTCCCCTCTTAAAACTCTTCTTCTGTTCCTATGGCTTGGGGATGCCTGTTCAGACCCCAGGCCCAGGCTTGGTGTGAAGGTGGGACCTCTCCAGGCTGCATGAAACAGACCCAAAGCACTCAGAAGAAGCCAGCTTCCAGGTCCCCCAGCACGAAGGGTGTCTGACATGTCTCTCAGGCCCTTTGGTTCCCAGGAAACTCTCACCAGAGCGTTCTGGAATAGGGACCAGAAGTCCTTCTTCCCAAGGGAGAATAAGGAGCGGGAAGCTTACCTCAGAGTGATTCCCCAGAGCAAATAGGTAAACAGCATCCCTGAGTCAAAGCAGTCCTCCTGGCTATGGGGGTACTACTGCAGAACTCTGCCCCAATCCAAGCAAGGAAGGGTACAGCCCCCTATAGTTGGTTGGCTGCTTAACAAAACACTGAGATTCTTTTAAAATATGGCCAGCATAGTTTTGAAATACGAGGAAATAGAAAATATAGCTCCCCCCCACCAACTGCATCATAGTAACATCACCATAGTGTATGGTAGACACGCTACAGGGATACACACCATCCCTTGTGCCCTGACCCCTCTCCCTCCAGCAGTACTGCACGTGGCTTAGCTCCCTGAAGACTCTGTATGCTGTCCACATCACATAGGTCTCACACAGTCTTCTCCTCTCTTTCCTTTTCCTTGGAGGCAATATGACCACTATTCCTATTTCACAAACAGGAAGGGAGACCAGGGAATCAAGTGATTTATCTGATATCAGCTATAGGTACACCGAGTGACCAATGCCTTTCTCACCATCTGTTGCTTCTTCTCTCTGCAGAGCCCAGTGGCTAAGTGTGTCTGGCTCAGCCATCACTAAGAACTCATGGCTTTCCCCAGGGGCCAGGCCTCAGAACCTCAATGCTCTGAAGACTGATGGCTGCTGGAGTGTTCACCTTGCTCAGCTAGTCCCACCTTGCTGATCATCATGGCTGCTGGAGAGGGAGTTCCTCAGAGCCCTTTGGCTGAGATCAGACAGCAGCTTAGTGAGCCTGAGCAGAGCCAGGGCTGCAAGCCAGTGCTGCTTGAGAAAATGAGTCACCTGGGCTCTGAGGCTGCCTTAGGCAGGGGTAGCCGAGAGGTGGCCTGTGCTGAGCTGGTTGTGTCAACAGTACCCAGCAAACCCAGACCTGGCAAGCCACTGGTCCAGAAAGTGTGCACTGAGCAGAGGCAGAGCGCCTTCACAGAACTGCCACAGCTCCAGGTGAGGCTGGGTGGTGGCCAGGCCCAGGACAGGGAGTACAAGGACATTGAAAGCCAGCTTGGTCCCCAGAAGCTGGCCCCAGACATCCCCAGGGCCCTGACCAGCAGCACAGTCTGCTCTGTGGGGCCTGACACAACCCGAAGTGAGCAGAGAAGCGCCTTCAGCAAACCAACAAAGCGCTTGACAGACAGGCCTGGCTGCTTCCCCATCTTCCCAACAGGTGAAACTGGAGATGTCCTGGGGGAACTGTCAGGTCTCCTCACTGCTGCAGACATCCCATGCTGGAGTCGACTGTCAAGTTCTAAGCTTGTGAGTGATTTCTGGAACTTGCAAATGCTGTCACAGAACTCTCTGCTCTGCACTGCTTTCCAAGGGGCCCTGATGCCATGGCCGGAGCACAACCAGGCCCGGGTATCTGCACCCTTGGTACCCTCTGCCACAACTTCACAGGCCCTTCTGCCACCTACACTCTCCACTCTGGGCCTGTCTACCCAGAACTGGTGTGCCAAATGCAGCCTGGCCTTTCACCTGACAGCTGACCTGGTCTTCCACATGCGGTCTCACCACCAAAGGGAACATGCAGGGCCTGACCCGCATTCTAAGAAGCGTAGGGAGGAGGCCCTCACCTGCCCCGTTTGCCATGAGTACTTCCGGGAGCGCCACCATCTCTCTAGACACATGACTTCTCACAGCTAGCAGACGGCTGAGCAGCAAACCCTTGGGTGCAGCATCCATTGTTCAGTGGTGAGGCCGAGGTGGTTCCTGGCCTATGTTGAGGAGAGGCTGACTCCAGTTTCCACAGATGAACAGTTCACTCAGTCTGAAAGAGACAATCCAGCCCCTGTGATGTGTTTTGCAGGAAGTTAGGTTGTGGATTAAAAGGATGCACTTTGTTCATCCAGGCTAGCGGGACTCACAGACAGAAGGTCGGGCTGCTCCCGGCTCCGTTCCTATTGCTTGGCATCGAAGCACATTTGGCACACATTATTGACTTTGCTGATAGGCCAGCCTGCATCTAATTTGGGCTATTTCACCTATGAGCTGTATCCTGGACCTCAGTTTTTCTCATCTGTAAAATGGTGTGATAATGCCTATGTCTTTGGGATGTCATCAGAATCATAAGAAAGGTGTATGAAAAGTGGCCAGTTTGCTGCCTGGCATACCATGGGTACTGAGTACATGAGATTTATGGTCACTCTCTGTACTAGTTTTCTTTATTATCGATGAAATATCAGGGACAAACAACCATTGACACATATTTTTCAGCTGAGAGAGGCTGGGGGTGAGCTTGTTGCAGACTGATTCAAGTCCACACTTTCTTTCTGCTGGGGCAATGGACTGCCTAGAGCCAGCATCTCTCACAGGGAAGCCTATGAGAGGGAGGTGAGCCTAGATGCACAGGCCACATCCCAAGCCTCTGCCTGGGTCACATTTGTCCCCTCCCCTGGGCCACTGCAAGTCACACAGCCAGAACCAGATGATGTGCTGGTCTTGGTGAAGCCATGATAAGGGAATGAGGACCAGGCATTCAGTCTGCCTGCTCCATGGGTCTTCACATTGTATGTGGAAAGACACTGTGAATATGTGCAGTGCCATTCATTCTGGCTGATGCTGCAGGAGCCATCCTCCCCTTGCTGTTCTGGGTGGGCACAGCATGAGGTCCACACTAGGAACTTGACATTCTTCTAGCATTTTAACCCCACAACAGTGTAGGACTTAGATACTCATGCCTGTCTTACTGCAGAAGCAACTGAGCTAAAGAGGTTCACAGCTTTCCTAAGACCATCACTCTGGAGCAGCAATGAAAGCATAAGACGCCAGGATCCCCAACCCTGAGCTCCTGTGTCTCCAGCCTGCCATGTGTCATGTGGCCAAAGGCCATGCAGGGCAAGTGATTCAAGAATTGTAACTGTGGGCTGGCAGAGTAGCTCAAATGGTAGAGTGCCTGCCTGGCAAGTGTGAGATCCTGAGTTCAAATACCCGTACTATCAAGCAAAAAAAATAGAATTGGAATTGAGGGGTGGACCTAGACTCCTTGCCTCAGATTTCAGTTTAATCTTGCTATTACTTGGTTATCTCTCTCTTTCTCTGTTTCTCTCTCTCTCTCTTTCTCTCCATCCCTCCCTCCCTCTCTCTGTCTCTCATTGCCCTTCTTTTGAGCACTTTTCACTATTATGTGAATTTATCTTGCTCACTATGGCTCCTATCTCTAGAATGAAGACTCTGTGAGGGATTTGTGGTTTGTTCATTGATGTATCCCTGTTGTTTAGAACAATGTAGGCACACAGTAGGCACTCAGGAGACATTTGTTGAGTGAGTGAATGGATAAGTGAAATAAATGAATGAAATGCCTGATTCTGGTCTCCTGCCAATCTGAAATCAGCTTCTTGGGGTGGGGTGGGCATTGACAAATGGTGAGCACAGTTGTCCTTCTCTGGCTTATTGGATTAATCCAATACATTTTGAAAGGAAAAAAAATGTCCTGTTGCAAGGTGCACATGAAATTGAATCAGAGACTTTAGGTTTCTAGTCCACCCTTCACTTTCTAGCTGTGAACTTTGAGGTACACAACATGAACTGATGTGCTCGGCATTAAAGGGCAAGAGGCAGTGAGGCAAGGTTGCACATGCACAGAAAGACCTCCGATGTAATCGTGCGTAAGGACATCCAGTTCTACTGTTCATGAGTAGAACATGCATTTGCTTGAAGTTATGAAGAAACACAACAAAACCTCTTCCAACTCTACTTTTCAAGATGAATTGATTTTGCTAAACATTAACTTTTAAGATGGAGTTAATCTTGATTAAAAATGAATTTAGATGCAAGTTGCTTTGCAGCCATTCAAATCAACAGACATGGTGACATGGTTGATTAATGTGGCAGTTCCTTAGTTGCACCAGGCTGGGTTCCAGGGTCCCTCTGGAAGTCAATACTCTCTTCTTCCTGTCTTCCATTCCTACTAGAGAGAAGCCACTTTAAATCATGGCTGCCTGAGCTCTCTCTGCCATGCCTATGATCTTAATGTTTGAGTTCCCCCAATTCATGTGAAAATCCTAACCCCCAAGGTGATGGTATGAGGAAAGGGGGTCTGTGAGAGACAGGGGTTACTGTCTTTATGTTAGGTCCCTGGCATTCTTGGGGCAGGCAAAAGTTCCCGAGGCTAGACCCCCTGATTTATGACTGCTTGTTTCTCCCCTGCTTGTTCCCTGCCCGATTGTTTCTCAGCTTGCAAAACAACTCAGGAACTTCCAGTTACTCAACTAGCTAGGCATGTTGACCTGTTCCATCTGGTGATTGCAGATAATCAGAGACCAGAAACTCTCTCCCTCTCCCATGGCTTGGCTCCTCCTATAAAGCCCACTACTCATTTCAGCCAAACCCTGCACTCTGGATCTGAAAGAGTGACAGTCCTGTGGTCTGATTCCAATAAATCTTTCTTATCCACACGTGGCATGGTCTTTATTCGGTAGTACCTTATACTTTACAAGCAATCCTCAGAGAACCAGCTCCTCACTCCCACCATGCTGACTCCTTGATCTTGGACTTCCAGCTGCCAGAATTATGAACAATGAATTCCTACAGTCTGTGGTATTTTGTTTTAGCTTGCCAGTTAAGGGTTGTCAGGTGATGTTGCCACAACACATCATAGCCGCAGGCGTAAATTTTACTCTACAATTCTGAGGTAAGAATTGTCATATGCCTTAGATTCTGTATGTCTAATTTAACAGGATTGGCACCCCATTATGTGGCTTAGTAGGATATGCATACCAGTATTACAAACTTTCTCTTGTCTCTCAAGGTCATGGATAGTTCCCCAACACCTTCCACCTGAAGAGCTGGCCCTCTTCCAGCTTAATTTGCTGTCTTTGTCTCTGTCCTTGGAGCTTCTCTGTCTTCTCTCCTCTGCCTCTCTGAGGATCTAGGGCGTTGGTGGCTGCTACGGTTTGGATGGTTTTGTCCCCCAAATGTCCATATGCAAAAGCTTGCTCCCTTTGTTGCTGGTATCGGGAAGTGCTATGGAACTTTGTGGTTAGTGGGAGGTCCTTAGGTATTAGAGGTGAGTCCTAGAAGGGAATTGTGGGACCCTGATCTCTTCCTCCCTGTCTCTCTCTGCTTCCTGACTGGTGATGGGAGCACTTGCTCCAACATGTGTTCTCACCATTGCCATCTGTTCAAGTTCCTTCTGCTGTTCCATTCAAATAAGGTTATGTGTAATCATAGAATTTTGGTTGTAATGCATAGGATATGATCTCACCTTTGTGTTCACTAGACCTGTCAGAGTCAAACCAATGGGGCCACCTGATCTTGACTATAAGCCAAATAAACCTTTTCTCTTTATAAGTTAGTTGCCTCAGGTATTTCCTTGTAGAAACATGACACTGACTCACACATCAGCTATTGTTAGGTATGTAACACAAGAAGTCACTGAAATGATGAATAAATAGATTTGGCTACCTTTTTAGAACTCAGGAAAGAAGAATGCCTAATAGCACCTGGAAAATGTTAATCGTGCCCTAACAAACCATCTCCCAACAGCAGCCATTCAATAAAGGTTTATAAAATGTCCTCAAAATTTGAAAACAAGGCTATAATAAGACATTTTGAATTGAGATGCAATTTAGTTCTCAGTTTTAACCAAGATAGGGGTTTCCTTTTGTTCTTATCTTGGAGGGAAGAAAAACTCATCAAAAGTCTGGATCCTAAATTTAAGCTCCAATTCCTGAGTCTTTAGCCCAGGGATCCTAAACACAGATGACTACATGGTTAATTAATATGGATGAAGTTGTCTGCCCTTCTGACCTTGTTCCTGGGTCTGGCAGTGGTGCTGATGGGTCTTGGTATTTGACACTCATACGTCTTAGGTGATGACTAAGCATAGGCCTTGAGAGAGGCCAGAGATCAGGACTTCCTATGAAAGTACTTGTCAATTGGCTCAACATATTTTTAAACAATGATGGATGGCCAAAATGGCAAGGACTCACTGAAGCACATCAGTAGTGGTGGTGATGGGGAGAGGCAGGAACCACCAGCAGGTGACCCCAATTCTAACATGCTGTCAGCCATTGAGTAGCCCAGGGGCTGGGCCTGGCCCTTCTATCCTTATTCATGTCCCTTATTCCCCCAGAAAGAGACTTCTTCCTTAGGAAGAAAGTCATTTGCCTAAATTTGGGGGTGTTTTTTAGAAATCCTGGTAGGGCTAAAGATCATATAACATAAGAGATAGGACTCTCATGGGCTGACTCTTATTTTAAAAATAAGTCATTCCCCAGCATGGTTTGGTTTGTGACACTCTTAGGACTTTTAGGAAAATCAGTTTTGCATGGGGAATTGGGAGGCAGCTCATGCAGGGGTGGGAAAGTGTTTCCCTGGGGCTGGAGGCAAGAGGCCCTGGCGCCTGATTCCCTTGTTATTCTAAGCTGTTTGGATTAAGCTATTTTCAGTACTGGACACTCTGGTCAGCAAGACCGAGCAGAGATCCTTAGGCCAAGCATTGGCTAAATCCCATGGAAGGAGGAGGTGGCAGATGAGGGCTCTCCAGTGGAAATTTGGAAGCATGTGTCCTTGCCCAGGAGTGGGGCATTCCAGCTTTGTGGGTAGCCAGGCTTCACTGATGTCCAAGTGGCCACCCACTGTGTGTTGGACTATGTGTGTAGGGGTGCAGATATGGGGACACAGGGATAGGAGGATGAATGAGATGGGAAATGTGCTGGGGTCCTCCCCTCCAGTGCTTCAGCCTGTCCTGAAGACAGGGCTCTGTGGGGCCCCTCAGGTGCACCTCCATATTTCTTTCTGGATGGAGTATATGGCTGCTGTGGTTGCTAGTGACTCCCATTCACATCTCCAGCAAGAATCTGAAGATCAAGGTCATCTTTTCCTTCCTGTCAGAGGCATGGCTAGTTCTTGACAGACAGCACCTGGACATGTGCTTCTAGCACCCAGGCTTCTGGGCTGTCCAGTTTGGAGTGAGGGAATAATGTCAGCTAATGTTGACTGGGTACTGGATTAACTCATATAATTTTCATATTCCCAAATGTAGAATTATCTCTCCCATTGAACAGATGAGGAAACTGAGGCCCAGAGAGCTGAAGTAAATTGCCCAGTATTGCACAGCTGGGAAGTGGCTATCCTGGTCTTCCCACCAGGCAGGCTAATTCTAGAACCTGGGCTCCTAACCACTTTGCTGCAGCTTAGTGACGCTGCTTCCCACAGGCACAGATGGGAAGAGATTCTCTGAACATCCAAGGGAGGTGAAAATGCTGGGCGGCCTCAAGAAGGAAAAGCATCCACTCTTCTGGCTGTGTGGCCTCCAGAAGGTTGTTGAACTGGCTGCAACTCAGCAGCTTACCATGTGATGGTGGAGACTTTGAAGAGAAAACCATGAATATCTCAACTACAGCCTCTCTACCCCTTCGAAACCCTGTGGAAGATCCTGGGACCTTTGCCATCTGCTGACTCCATAGCTCTGGGACCACGAATTAGACCCAATCAGCTGCCCCTAAGTGCCAGACAAAGGAATCCAATGATTCCAAAGAAAAACCCAGGAAAAGAACATAGGTAACAACCACCAGGGGTCGCTGTATTCAATTAGGGGCTCAATTGCATAGTTTATTTTATATTTTGGAATCATGACTGCTGCATTGAAAAATGATGATATTTGCTCAGTAAGAGGATCTAGAAAAAGGTAGAAATATTAAGAAGAAAGGAGAAAAATACTACCCATAATTCTGTCACTTAGGAACGTGGTTAAAACTTAGGTGATCTTTAGAGAGCTATCTATCTATCTATCTATCATCTATCTATCTTCTATATACAGAGAGAGGGACAAGAGGAGAGAGAAGCCCTAGAATTTAAGGATTTAAGCCATGAAGAGTAGTTGCATATTCTCCTGGAGATGAATGGGTCCAGTGAACACAAAGGTGAGATCATATCCTACACATTACAACTAAAATTCTATGATTACATATAACCTTACTTGAATGGAGCAGCAGCAGAAGGAACTTCAGTGAGATTTTACACTAGATTGGGCAGTTTACTTAGGGTTAGTTCAAGGGTTGTCCCATCCACATCCCTGAAATGTTGGGTGGCCCAGTGGCTTGCCCAGACACCATAGCTCCTCGGAGTCTGTGGAGAGGGCTGGGGAGGTCGGGGCTGTGCCAGTGCCTGGGATGAGTTGTCTTTGGGGAGCTTTTCTGGTCTAGCAGAGCCCACAAGCTGCACCCTGACTTTACCAGATGTGAAGACCCTTGTGCATGACCCTCACTCAACAGTCCTGGGTCCTGGACTCCTGCAGTTCTGGCTGGGACTTTTCTCACCTCCACCAGGACTGTGAGCAGGGCCTTTGAGGGTTCTCACTTTCAAGTCCTGTATCTTGCCTGCCAGGTGTCAGGCAGCAGGTGACTGAGATGAGTAGGACAGTGCTGCCCCTGAGGTCTACAGTGTGACGAGAGAGATGACCTCAGGGCAGTGTGGGAGGTGCCCTAGTAGGGACAGAATGCTTAAGGAGTGGGGCCCCTGCACTTTTGGGACCACTGCTGCAGATGGCCACCGATTTCTGGAGATGTTCTGTCACCCAGCTGCACACACTTCAAAGACTTTGTATAAGAACATGCTACTTATTACCATTGGTATGTGTCATGTAGTGAAATGATACTACCACTGGTACAGTGGGTTAAATAAATTATAAAGATGCTCTCTGAACTTACAACTTGTGGGTTTTTTTGACTTTACAAAAGTAGGTTTATCCAGGTATCAAATGCATTTTTGACTTAATGATATTTTCTAGTCAAGATGAATTTATGAGGACACAACTCCATTGTAAGCCAAGGAGCACCTGCACCATTAGAGTATACTATGAAAATTGATCTCTTGTTTTTTTCACTTTTTACAAATGTGACTATGAGAAAATGCAAAGTGACATTTCATTCTTACATTATTCTCTCCATGGAGCCGCTGAGTGACAGTTCCAGGAGCAAGAGTTGGTGATTAGAAAGCATGGGTGAGGATGGAGATGGATGATGGCTCCCCAAAATAACTTCTCTGGTGGGACTGCTTTTGAAGGGGCCGAGCTCCCTATCTATGAGGGTCCAGGCAGAGCATCAGTGCAGTGGTGAGGAGGTCAGATGGATGAGCTCCAGGCTGTGTACTCCCAGTGCTGCCCCTGAGGCCTCAGACAGGACCCTCAGTTGTGCCCTGCCCACCTGCCTCACCCTTGAAGGGCATGTTGGAGTGTCTCCTTGGCTCTGGTGAGGGCCACTTCTGCAGGGACGAGCACATGGGGTGTCACGCCCACCCCTTCCCAAGAACTGCCATCTGCAGCACCCACAGAGCGGGCTGTAGGGATGGTGATGTAGAGGTGTGTGTCATCCACATGGTAGGTCTGTGGTGGCTGGCAGCCCCCACTGGTCACCTCCCCGATGACCAGTGCCCTGCCTAGCCTCTTCATGATGTAGGTAAACTCCTCAGCAGCGCCAGCTGTCACACCACTGGTCAGAATGATCACGCTCTTCTTGGAGCCATAACGTTCACCTGGAAGACAGAGGCCCATCAGCCTTAGGTCAGGACAAGGCCTGTGGGCCTGTCCTCTCTGTGAAGCCAGACTGTAGTAGAGGGGCCTAGGGCTCAGTCCTGCATGCTTGGTTCACATGCAGGCTGAGCCTCTCTGAGCCTCAGTTTCTGCCTCTGTGAAATGGGGACAGGAGTGTGTGATCAATCACAGGTATTTGTGAGTCTGAGGATTCCCTATGCAGCTTCTTTTATCATAGCTAAATGAAGGGAAAGTTGACTTTCCTGAAGACAGGGGCCGGGGTGGTGAAGGAGTGATGCTACCTCCTTGTAAACAACAGGAACTCTGGGTCTGACCTGAATCCCTTTTTGCTTTGGATCCTCGGAAAGGCCAAATTTGTGATTTAACAAGGATAGCACTCCAGGACTGCAATGGCCAATAAACAAGTAAAAGGCAAATTCTAATCATGTTTTATTTAACCTAATAGATCCAAAATATGTTCATCTCAAATGTAATCAACTGAAAAGCAGTGAAGTGTTTTACTTACTGTCTCCCTTCCCTTCCCTCTGCCCCATTAGTGGTATTTTACACTTACAGCACATCTCTCTAAGGACAAGTCACATTTCAAGGACTCAGTAGCCACAGGTGGCTTGTGGCTCCCATATTGGTCTTTGAAGTTTTAAGATCTATGATCTTTAGACCTGAGTCTGTTTTCAACTCCTTGTCTTGAATGCCTGTTTGAATTTAGGATTCACCTTGTTCTGATCTTTGTCTGTATTTTGCTGCCAGGATCTATGCTGTGTAATGAGGAAGTGCAGGAATTAAAGCAGTATGGCAATTGGTCGAGGTGCCACCTCTCTCGCGCCCTCTTGTGGATAGGAGCACAGTGTCCTAGGTTCTGCACGCTGGGCAGGAGAGGGAGAGATGCCATCTTCCCAGCCATGGACTTTGAAAATTCAGGGCTTATGAAGGTCAGGGGCTGCCTCTGCAGCAACAAACACTGCTCTGGGCCAAGGGCAGGTAAGGGAAGGCCCATCTGCATCTGGAACTTTCGTCTGGCAGTTCTGAGGAGCTGCTGATGAGAATTATAAGCAAGATGAGCACTGGGAGATCTACTGGGTTTAGAGGTTTACCAATGGGTGGGAGATTCGTCTGCATTTGTACTGCAGGCTGCTGGCGGAAGTGCTGAAAGTGGGGGCATGTTTGTTTTAGAAAAGTAACATTTGCACGTTGGCTCTTTTGTTTATTAGCTGAGTAACCTAGAGAAGACATTCAACCTAATTGACCCCCATTTTTCTCCTCTAGAAAGTGAGCATAATAGTGGGTGTTTTGTTGAGATTATAGGTCATAGCACCAAATGCATGGGTCAGGGCAGGGGTTTTATGTTTTTCCAGTCCCTATTACTTTACCTAATCTCAAGTCATTTCCCCTTGATTTTCCAGAAACTTCTAGAATGAGAACAGGAAGGAGAAGGCCTTCTCACGCACCTGCAAGACGGGTGTGAGTCCAGAGTTCGCTGACAGAGTCATTGGGCCTGCTGTAGATCTTGTCCAGCAGAGTGGGGGGGCCCTCGTCAAAGAAGTAGGAGCACAGGGCAGAGATGGATGAGGTGGGACCGCCAATATTGAACCTGAGGGAAAGGAAGTGGCGTCTGTTGGGCAGAGTGAGCTCACAGCTGGACCCTCCGTGCCCCTCTGGGGGTAGGGATCTTTGCCCTGCAAAGGGTTCTAATTCTAACTAGCTTCAGTCTAGTACCCCTTCCTCCTTCAGAACTTCATGGGTGGGCATGGCCCAGACCATTTCCCAGAGTACCAGTTCTCTTAAGACCGAAAGACTTTGTGGAAAATACTGAATAACACTGACAAGTCCTGCAATTAGGAACTTGTTCACGTATTTCCCCCAGACGGTGAACAAGGTCCACTTCGCTGGACTCATCCTGCCTGGGAGTAGAAATGCCATCTTCCCCAGCTGCATTCTGTGAAAATTTTGCAAAACCCATCAAGTGCCTTAGCTCAGGTGTCCTAATGTGGCACTTAGTGTGGCAGTGTACTCAGAGCTATGGAGCTACATGGGGGAGTAGGCACCCTGAGTCCCACTGTATGACCTTGCTGGGCTCCTGCCTCCCCATCTGCGGTTGGCAATATGTTAGGAGCTTCTTCAGTTGATAGCTGAGGACTGCCTGGCTGGGTTCAGGGCCTGTGACCCCAGCATCTGAATCTCCCAGCATCAGCAAAGGAAGGGCCTTTAAGCCAAGAGCACCTGTAGGCTGGGGCCGCTTTTTAAAAAGGACTCAGCATGAAGGTGGCTCAGGTTTCACTAGAGTGAGGAATAAAATGATCAGAGAACCACAGAAGCCCCACGTTCAGGATACACATGAAACCAGACAGGGGGAAATGATTTACCTTCTAGGGAGAATCGGCCTCTCTGGGATTCAGTGCCACCTAGTGATGACTAAGAGCCATGCAGCTAATCTGGGCTGTCCCTGATCACCCATCCCCTGAGGCTCTCTTGGGAAGCAGGGGAGGTAAGAAAGATCCCCATCGGAGGGGAGCAGTCCACAAAAGGTGTCCAGGGCACATCCACAAATGGACCCAGGAGTTACCGGAAACCAGGGCCTGGCCACGGCCTGAAGGCTCTTCCACCCTGGGGAGGGAAGGCTGCTCTGTGATCAAAACTGCTCATTTTTTGCAGAAATCAAGAGGAAATGATAGCTGAAAACATCCTTCCAACAACCATTTTGTGATGCAAAGAATTCTTTCTGCAGCATTAGTGGTTCATTTTCAAATTCTCCCTGGAACCTTGGCCTGGGGATTCTCATAACAGGGAAATACTAGGTTGGTTTTGTATGACCTGAATCACAACTATATGTAGAGGGCTTAGTTGTCCCAAACAGGTCTGGAATGCCTATTAGATATCCAGACTACACCTGCCCCTGGAGCTCCTGATGTAGGAGCCTGGGTAGGGCACAGGAATCAGTATTTTTAGTGTGCTGCCGTTTGGTTTGATTTCTGTGACCAGGCAACAAATTTGGGATATTTGTTAACCTGAAATTGAGATCATCAAAGGAGCTTAAAAAATACCAGTGCTGGGATAAACCTAAACCCCTGAGTTAGCTGGCCGAAGGCCTGATAGGCAGGTGGCCTGGTCCCACTCAGCTCCTTGGCTCTGTCACATGGTCCTTTTTCTTCCTTGCTGTGGCCTGCAGTTCTGGCTTTCTTCAGCGAGTGCTGTGGCCTGGCCAGGAACCACTGCCAGGCCCACTGACCTCATGTCAATGATCAGGGCGGCCGTGTGCACAATCTTCCTCCAGATGTGTTCCACCAGCAGCTCAGAGACCTGGGTGAGCAGCTCACAGTCCCCAAACATGTCGAACCTCAGGTAGCCAATGTTGTCCTCTAGCACGTTAGTGTGGAAAGAAAACTTGATCAGGTCTTCAAAGACATCTGGGGAGGGGATCTGGAAGAGTGGGAGGCAGTGCTCAGTGTCAGAAGAGAGCAGATTGCAGAGCCTCGGGAAGGTGGTGCTATAGGTCCCCTTTACATCCTGGGAAATGTTAATGGGGTGGGAAGGGAACTAAGATTTCTAAAGGAGTTACTGGGCTGGAGACTTTCCTAACAGCGTGTCTGGGATGTCATCCTGTGGGTGGTGGGTCTGAGCATGAACCCACATACATCCCTTTGGTCAGCAGCTTCCTTGCAGAGGATGCTTAGGCCTGTCAACTCCACACCCTGGTGTCCTGAGTGAAAAGCCCAGGCATGGTCTCCTCACTGGCTCCTCTGACCTCACCAGACACTTTTTAATGCCCCTGGACTCATCTTCTTCTCCTTCACTGGGGCAGGAAGGAAAGACCTTACTTACCTTTGCCTGGGGTTTGGCTCTTATCATCACCTCAGTCACACTATACAGGAGACACCATTATTCTTACCTTTCCATGAGGATACTGAAACACAGAGAGATCAAGTAAATTGCCCAAGGTCACACAGTCAGTAAGGGGTAAAGCCCGAATGAATCCACAACTGACTCCTTACTGTGAACCCTGGCTATGTTGGAAAGGAACAAGTGGGAAATTTGGAAATTGAGGGAGCTGCAGGGCTACTGGAAGTGGCAGGACTCAGAGAGCTGGGCAGAGAGCAAGGAGTGGGCAGGGAAACCTGTGTGGGTGGGGACTGGCTGCAGTCCTGCTCTGTCCCCAGTCCATCTGATTGTAGCTGACTCTGCCCCACTGACAGGCCTCTGTGGCACCGCCTGTCTTTTCACTCTCTTCTCTAGGTTTTCCACACATGGGTAAGCCTGCTTGGCCCCAGCATGTGAAAGTCATGTCCCCAGATCGACCTTCATCAATGGAGGATGGAACCACCGGCTCTCTTCCACCAGAAGAGAGACAGCTCCAGGAGGCCCTCTCACACATGTCAGGATCCTGGTGAGCTCACCCCACTGTCTTCAACACAGCAGGCTTAGTAATGCACCAGGTGTCAGTTTCCATCCCTTCCCACCTGGTTCCCTGCTCAGTGAGCACTTCCCAGATCAGCTGTGAGTTCCCAAGCCCTTACCTCAGGCCTCCTTTCAAGGGTGTCATGCCCTGCCAACTCACTGTGACCACACACAGTAGTCACCCATGAGAAAACTGTGGAGTGATACCAGAAGTGCTGGTTTTGATTGAGTATTTGGCTAATGTAGGGCCCTTGGTAAATCCTATGGCCACCTTGGCCACTGGTTCAGAGAATTTTCTCTTGCCCACTCACCCTGAAGCCATACTCTGCCTTAGTCCACCTCTGGCTTCCAAATACTTTGACTACAGCAGCCTTGCTCTAAATTTCCTGTCCAGTAGGCCCTTGGATGAGGTGTATGTCTACCCCGTGTAGCTCATTCAGGGCGCATGCTTTGCATTGTGGGAGGGAGGAGGTAGCAGTGGGCTCCTAACCAAGGCAGGGCTGTGCCCTGGCACTCCTGACCACTCCAGGGCCTGTGTCCAAGCTTCGTGCTTTAATCTGAGGGCATGAGGCTGGGGCCTCTGCCTCCTTCCCCACCCCCTCTCCCACTTCTCTAACTCTGCCTCTGATTCATTCACACAACCATTGTAGCAGGTACAGTAAGGATGAACACAAAACCTACATTTGCAGAGGAGAAAATCACAGCTTGGGGCCTTAGGTGACTTTCTGGCCCCCTCCCTAACACTGACCCCCTGCAAATTCTTGCCTTCCAGCTGACCACTGGGTTCCTGAGAGTACCGTGCTCTACAGAGGTGCTCAGGGACCCTGGGCACAGACAGTTGATGGGGCACAGGGTGACAGTAAACAAGACTGGAAGCCATTGTTTTGCACTGTGCACATAGCCCAGCACATGCCAACAACTAGTCAAATTACTCCCAAGACTGGGTGGGGCCAAGCCTCCCTTGTCTCTCACCTGCATGGGCACAATTCCAGGAATGCGGTCCTTTGCATCCTCGGGGATATGGGCTGTCTTCAGGTGTGGGTCCCCAGACAGCATCTGCAGGTCAGCCCCCAGCATCTCTGCCAGGGCCCCTTCTGAGGTCACCCTTGCATAGCGGCTCTGCAGACGACTCAGCTTAGCAGCCATCTTGGACCCCAGCTCAGGGGACGCATAGTTATCAGCCACCAGTTTCCCAGCCGTTTGCAACACTGTCGGCACCTTGGCACGCAGGACCACTATATCCTGGGCTGTGGAGAGGGCCTCGCTCATGGGCACAGTAATGTCAGGCTCCACACCAGCCAGGTCCCAGGCCTCACCAGTGGTGGCACTTAGGGCCATCTGCGTGGGCATGGAGACATATAAGGGACTGTTGCCCACCTGGTAGATGCCCACAGAGAGTGCCCCTCCAGCCGTGGGCTCCCCGATGATTGTGGCCCGCTGCAGGTCTTGCATGGTGTGAGCGAAAGCCTCTGCTGCAGAGCCACTAGTGTGACTCATCAGGATGTAGAGGTCTTTGTGGGTTCCATAGCGCTGCCCGGCAACCTGAGGCAGGGTCCATACCTCTGTGATCCTCGAGGTGGCTCTGTCAAAGATAGAGTAGAGGTGCTGGCGGGGCTCTGCCTCAAAGAAGTAGGAGCAGAGCAGCGGCACGGCTGAGGAGTAGCTGCCAGGGTTATAGCGCAGATCGACAACCAGTGCGGCTGTGTCCACCAGCCTCTGCCACACCAGCCGCACCAGCTGCGACCCAATGGCTTTCACTGTCTCCAGCTCAGCCATGGCATCAAAACGCAGGTAGCCCAACTGGCCTGGGAGTATCTCCGTCTTGAACAAAGCCTCAATGAGATAGGAGAGCTCTTCTGGGGAGGGAACAGCTGGGGGTGGCAGGGGCATGTCGTCGGCCACCAGCTCGTCGGGGCTGTGGAACACCAGCAGGCGGTGGTCCTCTGACACCTCCTGCAGGTCAGCCGTGAGCTGTGAGGCCAGTGATTCCAAATCCACTGCTGTGCGGTAGGCTCCCTGGGCCAGCTTGGCCTGCAGCAGGGCTGCTGTCTGCCCCATGACCTCTGGCCGAGCATAATGGGCCTCTAGCAGGCGTCCTGTGCCTTCCACCAAGGCACCGAGGCTGCGGTGGAAGTCCAGCACCTCCTGGGCTCTGTCCAGGGCCTCCTCAGCCAGCACGATGGCATCGGGCACCACACCACCACCCAGCCAACCCTCACCATGGTTGTCGATGAAGGTGAGCACTGGGACAGTGAGCACCAGGCCACCCTCAGGCGTGTCCAGCAGTGGCACCATGCAGGTGTGCAGTAGGCTGCCTGCGGTGATCTCACCCACCAGCGTGGCCCAGCCCAGTGACTGCATGAGGAAAGCAAACTCCTCAGCGGCTGTGGCGGTGCGGTGGCTGGTGAGCAGGTACACCCCACGCTGGTTGCCATAGCGTGTGCCCAGAAGCTCCCTGCGACTGAAGTGCTCCTGTGTGATGTTGGTGCGGCGATCATAGGTGGTGAAGAGGCGCACAGGGCTGTCCTCTGGGCCCTGGAAGTAGGACAGCAGCAGGGGCACGGCGGAGGATGGTCCCCCGGGATTGTGACGCAGATCCATGATGAGATGCTCCGTGTCCTGCAGGGGCTCCCACACCTGGCGCAGTACATAAGGGCCCAGATCCTCCAGCACAGAAGCATCTGCAAATCTGTCAAAACGCAGGTAACCCACGTTGCCTGGCAGCACTGACACCTGAAATACAGAGTCCACCAGGGCCTGCCGGGCTGTCTCGTCCTTGGGCACCTCGGGGTCTACCACCGGGGGATCATCAGCCTCAACCTCAGGCCCAGAAGAGGTTTCTCTGGGCCCAACAGCCCGCACCAGGAGCCGGGGATCCTCAGACACAGTCTGTAGGCCAGCATTGAGCTTAGTGACCAGATCTTCTTCTGAGACCACTGTAGAGTAGTCCATGTTGGCCAGGTGGTGCAACAGGGCTGGCACACGTTCCACCAGTGTATAGTAGTCCTGCAGAGCATCCTGAAGGCGGTGGACAACTCCTGGCAAGGCACGGCGCAGGGTGAGAATGGCTAGGGCTTTCTCCAGGGCCTGCTCAGCTGGTGTCCCCACGCAGGGCAGTACTCCACTGCCCTCCCACGTCTGGCTGCCTCCGCCCAGGGGCCCAAGAGACCTGGACACTGGCACCGTGAGGAAGAAGTTGGATTGGCCTATCCTCAGCTTCTGGAGATCCAGGGCACCCCCCTCTGTGCGCTCACCCACCACAATGGCCCTGCGCATCTGCTTGAGAATATAGGTGATGTCCTCTGCTACGCCTCCAGTGCGGCTGCTCGTGAGGACCACCACATCCTTGTCAGCACTGTATCTCTGTCCCGGGACCTTTGGCAAGGTCCAGATCTCCGTGGTGGTATTGGAGGGACGGTCATAGATGGTGTCTACATGCAAGACGGTGTTCCCAGGGGACAAGTAGGAAATGACATAGGGGATACCAGAAACGTGGCCCCTGGTGCAGTAGCGGAGGTCCAGCACCAAGGCAGAGGTGCCCATGAGCTGCATCCACACATGGGCCACCAGGAATCCCCCCATCTTGCTCAGCACCTCCTGGCCTGGGAGATCATCCACCCTCAGGTAGCCCACATTGCTCTCCAGGACCTCATGGTAAATGTTCTTCTGCACCTGGGTGAGCAGTTCCTCTTGGGTGAGGTTGGTGAGTGCTGGGGCTTTCCGGGGAGCCTCAAGGGTGCTGGGCTCATAGGAGATGATCAGGCGTGGATCATTCAAGGAACTCTGCACCCCGGTAGTCAGCACATGGGCCAGTGTCTCAGGATCTGTGATGCTCAGAATCTCATGACTCTTCATGGCCTGTTCAATAGCTGCCTGCATCCCCATCAGGTTCTCTGGGAAGCAGTAGTTATCCAAGAGGATCTTGGCCATGTCCAGCACCAGGCTTGGCTGGAACAGGCTTGTGGAGCCAGCCAGGCCACAGAGCAACATGGACAAGAGTAGCACCCATTCTCTCATCATTGGGATCCCAGGAGCTGGCTCCTGAACAAAAGCTTCCTTCACCGGGTGAAAGACGACAGTCCTGTTCTGTGCAGCTGCCTTCCCCCCTCGTCCTTCTCAGCGGGTGGACAGAAGGTCTGAGGCTCAACTCAGGAGTTGGGGCTAGGCTTCCAGCTCCAGTAAGCCTTTAATCCTGTCTAATTCAAGTGCATCAGCCCTGGGGGACTGGAGAGAAGGGGCCAGGGTAGTTTGACCCAGGAGGAGCGGTGCATCTCATCTTGCTGAGCCATTTCTGCATAAAATAACATGAATAACTGCTGTTTATTTTGAGATTCTGCAGCATGCCAGGCCCTGTACTATGTTTTGCAAACTGACAGTTTTCACCAAAGTCTTCCAAAGAAGAGTTATTAGCCTGTAAGTAAATAGCATTTCCCTACCACTTTGGGGGACACCCTGGCTCTGGCACTAGGTAGATCTCGTTGGAGGTCTAGTTCTATGGGCTTAGGAAAGACCCTTATTTATTGGATAAATTAAATGAGAAAATCTGTGTAAAGCACTTCACAGTGCCTGGCAAATAGGAAATACTGAGTTGCTGTGAGTTTATGTTTTATAGTCAGAGAAATAGACCAGAGAATTCAGTAACTAGTTGAGCCCATCATTTCAGGTTGGCACAGTTGGGGGGCTGTGGGAAGAAACCAGTCAGGCTACAATGGGCTCAGATAGAACAGAGGTTGAGTACAGAGGTTGAGTCTCAGGCCCATTAGCCCTTGGTACCTACGTCTTGCTAATGTCTTTGAGCATCAGCTGGATCCCATCACAGCTGTCCAATGAGAGGAATGAAATATGTGGACCTCACCGTGGGGTGTGTCAGGTGGGAGGGGACATCATGGGACCAGTAATTCTAGATCGAATGAGATTAGCCCTGAGATGGGGGTGACCATCATTTTTTTGGTTAAAGGATACCCTATAGTTGCCTGCCACAGCCTGCCACTTGCAAAAAGAACCAAATTATAGGGGGATATGGGTCTCTGTGGTCCTTGGTTTCACACAGAATCTAGGTATCTCTATCTGCCTGGAACACAAGTGGGAGCCAGTCCCAGGTACACTGCTGGACTCCAGGCTCCCAGCTCTTGCTTCTTCTCATGGAAATGGTGTATGTCTCACTTCTGACTGCCTTGCTACAGATATCTAAGAATGGCTACCATGGAGCCACTACCTAGAACTCCTGCCTTGTTGATGTGCCCTTCTGGATGGGGGTATATCTCTCATTCAACAGACAAAGCACCCCTGGCCCACTGGTCAGGTTATACGTCAGGGAGCAGCAGTTGGTAGAGCTGTCTCTGGCTCTGACTTCCTAGGTTTTATGAGTTGTGTCCAGCACACACTTGTTGGGCTGAGTGGGAAGCAGGTGGGATCCTACTTGTGCCCCAGCAGGTAGCCAGAGATGGTAGTGCTCGGGCAGGGGACCTTTCTCTATATAGCCGAGAATCAATCTGTTCTTAGGAAGTCATTATCTGAGGATGTTTACCAAGTGATTTATGAAGGCCAAAGAGGTCAATTAGCTAAAACAAACATATTTTTAGCTCATTAGGATTTGTTTAATGCCCAAGTGACATATGGTCACATCACTCCACGGTTTGCAGCCAATGGGAATGAGCCTGATTTACTATTAAAGTCAGGTTGGGGGTGGGATGCCATAGACACTCCTTAAAAATACATCTGCTGCATTTCCTCAGGTCCCACAGGGACCACTAGGCCTTCTGCTCTGCCTCCACCTGGGGTACCCAACTCCGAGCATGCTGTCCAAGGTCCTCCGAGGCATTTGTGTGTCATTGCTGGAGTCCAGGCTGAGCTCTAGACAGGAAGAGCTGGCGGTAAGGACGACCAGGAATGGGGTCCCTTTGGGAAGGAAAAAAGCAGTAGTACAAAATGTGACTGGTTTGTGTGAATGGCCCCAACTCAGGAGTAGTTGAGAAAAAGAACCAAGTCTGTTGCATGTCCATGGGGGTGCCTGAGGTGGACAGTGCCTGGGGGAGAGGCAGTACTTTCTGTGGGCACAACTCAAGGCAGGTGAGAGGGCATATCCTGTCCCAACAGTTTTCCAAACTCTCTAGGAGCCTGAGGTGGCTTGTAAGTGAGGGCTGGATATGAACAGAAGGTTGAGGTTTCCTTAGTCTATCACCGGCCATATGTTCTGAGCAAGTGCCTGGAGCAGGGGCTGGGAGGATTCCCAAATCTTTCTACATAGCCCCTGCCAAATTCCTGCCCAGGCTGACTACAGCAAGTCCCGTTGTCATCTTGGGGGCTGAGTTTTGGACTTGGAAGAGTGTTGGAAAGCCCTCATTTATACAAATGTCCACAGGGTAGAGCTGTCCAGTGTGGGTTTAGAAGTTAATCCCAAATCCTAGCACTTTCTAGGATTAGACACTAAATTAGGTGATCAGATAGCTCTGGTTCTGCGACTTCCTCAGAAAAGGAACTAGGGTAATGAGACAAGCCTCAGTATTTCTGAGGGATTCTGTATAATAATGTTAGAGGTCATAGCAAGAATGCTGAGAACATAGCAGGAGCTACCTGGGATTAGACCACCCCTGTAGGATTGGAGAAAGACACAGTGAGAGGCAGGGGCTGGCCTGGGGACCCGTGTACCTTCAGTTTGGGCTTCTTAGGCCCCTACCCTGCCATGAGCTTTTGTATATCCAGACCCAGGCTCCAGTAACCTAAGCTTGCTCTCTCTCTCTCTCTCTCTCTCTCTTTGACTATCTAAGATGATGGTATGAGAGTCTCTCTGGGTTCAAGGGGGCCCATCTCAGGAGTACAGATATGGAAGTCCTATGGAGAGCAGTCTAAAGAAGAATCTGATGTTCAGGAGCTCAGGATAGGTAGACCTGGTCAGATAACCTGGACATAGAAGCAAACCCTTAGTGCTCACCAGGTGCTCAGGAGGACGGAACATCCCACACCTACCTTGTTGGCCTTGTTGACTCAGCCTACGTGAGAACGAAGCCTGCCTTGAAAAAGAGAAGACTATAAACAAGTTCTGATTAGGCATTCTGCCTGTATCCAGTTCTGGGAGAATTCAGGGAGTGATCCAGCTGCAAGGTTAAATGACATTATTAATGGAACTTCTTTCAAGTGAGTGGCTCCCTACAAGTGCCTGGCTGACCACAGGATCTTCCACAGCAGGGTAAAAAAGGCAGTACCCAGTGAGAGTAGAGACAGGTGAGGGCAGTGAAGAGGGGAGGGGAGAGCAGTGTAGGGAGGGTGGGATCCAGGGGAGAGCAATGGGGATAGTGCCCAGGGAGGGAAGTATAGGAAGGGCAGTGCCCAGGGTGGGCAGTATGGGGAAGGCGGTGCCCAGGGGAAGATGGTGCGGGAAAAGTGGTGCCAGGGGAGGACTGTGAGGGGGTAGTGGGCCAGGGGAGGTCAATGGTGAGTGGTAATGCCCTGGAGAAAGCAGCATTTGCCCAGGAAATGTAAGTTCTGCCTGGTTTGAATCTTCCTGCCACCATGACCTTACCTTGTCCTTGAGGAAGGCATCAGGGTAGCAGAGAGAATGTAGCCTGGCCTTATAAATCAGGGTTCAAATCCTGGGTCCAGCAGTGGCTTTAGCAAAGGTGTGAGGCCTCCAAATGCCTCCATCTAGTCTGTATTTATGAAATGCCACATAAAATATTCTGTTGGCTATTGTCCAAACCCTATAGGTGTGTTAGGCCAGGGCTAGTTCTCAGGGCATTCTGGGCTGTCTCTGCCTCCTATTGTCCCACTGTCTGTCTGTTTCACCTTGTCTGGCTGGCACTTTTTGCTCAGCATCCCTGAGCCTCTTGCCACTCATTCCTGGCATAGAGGGGCAGGTCATAATGAAGGCAGAGGAAAACCCCACTGCTCTTTCCAGGCTCCTCAATTCCCCGCTCTTTGGCTTCATTACACATGTGACAGCACAAGATCACCACCTCTAACACAATAAAGAGGAAAATGCTTAGGAGAAGTTTCTAAGGCTGTGTTGAAAGTGGCAGTCAGTAGGTAGGGCCCACTGGCCCTATTAGTACCCAGAGGATGGCAATGTCGCATTTAATTCTCTGACTGTAGGTGAACAAGCTTTGGTGAATCCTATGCAAAGAATAACCACATGAACTGGAAGCCAGAGAACACATATTGGGTCTCTCCTCACACACTCTGTCCCTGCACATCTGATCACATCAGTTTGTCCTAAGCCTCTGGGAGTAACCAAGGTGAGAGGATCCTGGCTTTGTCTCCAGAGGACTCATGGACCTCCCTCACAGATAGCTGGACTCAGGTGGGGATGTGAGTAGGAGGGGGCAGAACAGGGAGTGGCCTTGTGGGTGGAGCTTAACTAGAACTGGGTGCCTGCACTGGGGCATGGCAGGCAGATGCTGGTGGAAGGTTCAGGCCCTTGGACACTGAGCAGAGATGACCTAAGTTGTTTATGTCTCTTGCTGCAAGCCCTTCTCTGGCATGTGGAGAAGTAAAGGAAAGTGGGGCAGCTGCCGTTATCTACTTGCAAACTTCTGCCCATGAAGAGCTCATGTCCACATATGCACAGAAGCCCATATACAGAAATGCACCCACTGACCTCAGTGTGCAGACACAGACCATCTGTGTCCACCCACCTCTGTGTCAACCCCCTGTCCTTCCTCCCTGCCTCCTACCCCAGGGAAAATGATAGCCCCTCTCACTTTCCCTGGTGTGCAGGAGGGTGGGACTGGAGAGCACTCATACTTCTGTCTCACTTTCAGGAAAGGCATTTGACTTTGACTTTATTTCCAGGGCAAACTTTCACACAGGCACAGAAACACCACCAGGACAGGAAGAAGATGGCACCCAACTGTGAACAGCATTGTCATACCACACTGCCTAGCATGTACCAGGAATTCATAACTCCAGGAGTTAAACAATAATGCTTCATTGTGTTTTTGTGTTAAAGTTGTTCATTGATTCCATGTAAACATTTAACACAACCATTTTCTAAAGCAATCTGTGGGGGCTTCAACCAATGGGAGTGGCCAAGTCTTTCTAAACCTCTCCTGGCGCCACCCTGGCCAGAAGTCAGGGGGCCATGGGGTGGAATCTTCACCACTTTCTGGGTCTTCCTCACATCACCCAGACCCATGTGCAGCCAGGAGAGTCAGACTGGAGGATGAAACATAGGCAATAGAAATGCTATCCTCCTTTGGGGTCAGCGGGAGGCTGGACGTATTGCTCAAGGAAGCCCACAAATGCAGGCATAGCCCATGGCAGCCAATGAGGACCAAAATTCTTCAGATGCTGGGAGCTGCACCCAGGAAGGCTGGAGGTCTTATCACACAAGTGTATGTCACCAGGGAGTAAAAACAGGGACTTTTTCAATACCAAACCAAGAGCACATTCAGTTCCGACAAATTCAAACCTTACTCTGTCCTCGTGGAGTCCTTGGGCAGGCTGTGGAGGTGGCCATGCTGAATAAATAATTGCAGAACCCCAGGCCACAGGATGTCCCTCTCAGGCTGTCACAGAGTTTGATTCCAAGACTGCCAATGGCCTCACGTGAACCCCTGACTGTGCGAGCACTGCACGAGCAGGCAAAGCAGCTTGGCCATAACGTGTGTCAGAGGGTTTTGTTCTGACCCATCTCTGACTCTCTCCATCCTGCAGCTGATCTGGGGCAGTTTCTCAGGGACTCAATGGTGATAAAGCACTTGACCACAGAATGAGCACGGGCATGAAGCTGGCAGACTGTGCCCTGGATGTAATAAGGAGCCTATCCATGCTGGTGGGTACTGACTTTGGCTCAGCCCAGCCTAGCCACAGCATTCCTGCCTTCCATGTCTAAATACTCCTTCAGTACAGAGTGGCCAGGTAGACCCCGTGGGCAATGGGGAAAGTCCCAGGCTTTGGTATCCCAAAGACCTGAAATGGAATCCTACCACTGACCAGTATTAATTGGCCTGCTTGAGTATGCATTTCTATATCTGTAAATCCGGGTCATGATTGCCCATCTCACTGGGGTGTAACTCTGGATTATCTTTTCTCTCCTCCCCTTCTCATCCTCTCCCTCCACCCAACAACACTTCCAGGCTCTCCTCTTTTGACCCCATTCCCACATCTCTCCGCCATCATATTCCCCAGCTGGTGTGTGATTTGGGTGGGGTGTGAAAGAGATAGCGGGTTCCCTTCCTTTCCCAGACTACTGGCATACAGACTGACTGAGTTCCTGTCATGCAGAGGGATAGAGAGTCTCTCATTAGGACCCTCCATCCACCCTGCCTCTCCCAGCCCCTGAGGCAGGTACTACCTGCACCCACACTCTGCTACACTCATCCCCTCATAATGATACTTGAGGGTGGGCACCCCCATGTCATCCTTATAGAGGATGGAGATGGGGCTCAGTTTGGTGGGCACACAGCAAGCCTTGCCCACCTTTGTGGGGAACTTGAGATGCACCAGGGTTTGCACAATGGCATGTTTCGTTGGTGTTACATCATCAGCCAGCGGGAAGAAGCAGCCACCTTTGCACTCGTAAGCTTCGTACTCCTTGGGTGCAATGATCCAGCTGTCCCAACCAATGTCCTGGAAGTTCACCCTCAGTGAGGTCTTCTGACAATGGCTACTGGCTCCAGTGCTCCTCTTCTGTCTGGCTAAAGATGACCCCACAACTGCGTGGCTATCCATGTCCTGCTCTTCCAACTCATGGCTCTCATTTGCTCCCCCATAGCTATTCTTGGGTGTCTTCCTGAGCGCACTGTCCTGCTCATGGCCAATCATCTCCCTGAGCTCCAGCCTGGTCTCCTTGGTCCCATTGCTGCGGTCATTGGAGAAGACAACAAAGAAAGGCAGGTTTTTTGAACCTGGGGGGACACTGATATCCAGCGTGTCACAGCCCTTCCTGTGGTGCTCCACTGTCACTTCCAGCTTATTTTTACTTTTGATGGAGTCTGATCTGACCCACCGTTTCACAGCACTGGAGACCTCCAACGTCTCCCAGCCCTCGTTCTGAATGTCCTGGGATACCAGGAAGGTCTTGGTTCCTGAAGCACCACCCCAGGCATCTTCTCCATCCAGGACATCATAAATGATCATGTTTCCTTCCAGACCATGAGAGGAGTCCATGTGATTTTGACAGGAGACATAGAGACGGAGCTCGGCCCTAGCAATCTGCTCGTGCCTGGGAATGGAGATGTTGAAGAGCAGGATGTGTTTCTGGAAGGGGGAGTCCTCTGTGGCAGCTGTAGAGATGGCATCTGAAACACAAACACACGGATGGGCATCTGCCTGGTGTCGGTTTCCATGACACAGATCTGTCTCCTGGTTTGGAATGAAAGGACGTTTGGGAAGATAGTTTTTATCTCTATTCTGGTTTCACACAAGCCCTTAGTAGAAGAGTGTTTTCAAAGGTGCATTGAGGCTCTGCCAAGGAAAAGAAGAGGAAGGTGTCCCCAGGTGGGGTTCACAGTTCTCATTCATTGAACATCTGCTAAGTGTCTGGTGTTATGCTAGGAGCTCTGCATAATGTATTTTACTTTAACCCCTACACTTGCCCCGGGAGAATCGAATTATTATTCCACTTCTATAGATGTGGAGACCGGGATTCAAGATCTTTAACTGGCAAAGTGCACACAGCTAGTGAACATCCTTGCACAAAGCAAACCACAAAACTTGTCAGAGGGTAGATCCTGAGTGGATGAACTGAAAGGAGAGACCCTGGTTGGGTATGGTGAAAGTCCTGTAGTAGACGCTGTGTAGAAATCTCAGCATCTAAGTAGTGTAGAGACCATTTGGAACTGCAGCTTCTAAGCAAAGTGGATGTGGATACTCTGTAAATACTGCATTCTTTTCCTATACATCTATTCATATCTATGATAAAGTTTAACTTATAAACCAGGCACAGTAAGAAATTTACAACAGTGATTAGTAGTAAAACTGAACACTTGGCACAGTATATTGTAATTTATTAAAATTCACAAGTGATTTAAAACTTGTGAATTGCTGGTTTCTGGAACTTTCCATTTAGTATTTTTGGACCACAGTGGACTGAGGGTAACTGGAACCTCAGACACCAACAGGGCTGATGAACAGAGGCCTTGTGCTGTGCTAAGACCCAGCAGGGAGAAGAGCAGAAGTGCCAATCCTGACTCTGTCCCTCGCTAAGTTTGTTACCATGTAATATCTTGAGTTTCCCTTTTTGTAGAATACACATCATCCTACCTGATTCCCAGGTTGGTGTGAGGTTTTATCAAGGTGACACATGGAACGCATCAGACATAGTCGCTGGCTTACAGCAGATGCTCTGTTACAATACGTCTGTGTGCCTCCTCTCCTCCCGACCCACATACGTGATCTGTGCGCAGCAAAGCACACAGCCTTTTGCTCAGGCTCTCTGTCGTCGTATCACCCAGCATAGGTGCATTATTCCAGCTCCTGTAGAATAGTGTGAACTTTGCATTTTACTCCAGAAGGCTTTGACAATGGCTGTGGGACTGTAGTCAGACACCTAGAAACCAAGTACCTACCTTCCCTAAGCTGTCTCAGACAGGAGTGCTGGTCAGGCATAGTATGTATGCATGTGGGTGTGGGTGTGTGTGTGGCGGGTGCCCCTGGTTGGGCTCCAATGCCAGATTCCCAGCCTGTGGGATATGGCAATTTAAGCCCCATTCAAAGAAGCCTAGCCTTCCTCTAGGGTGGAAGTTATAGATATGTCTTCTGGGTTTGGTGACCTGCAGATTGCACTTATAAAATGAAGCCGGGGTTTTTAAAAATCAAGCATCTTCACTTCAAATCCAGATTTTAATACTCCTTTGGGCAATCTGAAAATTCAGCAGCAGTGAGCATGCGTCAGGATTATAGTATCTTTAGGCAGGCAATTGCTCTGTAGACTAGGCAGAGCAGGCCTGGCCTGACCTGGCTATGGCCCCACACTGGGCCTCTTGGGCATTTGCAGGTCTTAGGCTCAGGAAGGGGAGAAGCCCAGTGCTCCTGGCCCATCAGGGGAACCTTCAGCAGCAGGACTGGCTGGCTCTGTGCAAATGGCATGGCGACCTTCCACACAAGCCTGATTGGCACAAGTGCCCTTGGCCTCACATACTCTGGCATGCACTGTTCAGAAACTCCCTTTACCTGTGTTGTGTGAACTTGATAAGTTAGTGGACACTGACCTTAAGTTTACCCCTAGTTTTCCTAAATCAGGGAAATTTATATTTAAAAAACGATAAGGCTCTTTTCTAACACTTCTCTGTCTAAAGCTTTATTCTGGGTCTTAAAAGGTCAGAATATAATTTATAAGACAAATAGATATTCTTTCAATTAAAAAATATACCAGTTTGCTGAGGCTAAATAAGTTGTCTATTTGTAAGTAGGAAGGGGGATAGGAAGCGTGGGAAAGGATGGGACGTTGTATGTGGGTGATGGGTCAATGCAAATATTAGCACCTGTCCATGATCATGGAAGGTTCTAGTGGACAGCTCTGCTGAAGGAGGGGGAAGAAGAGAAGGAAAGGAGAGGGAAGGGCTGGCATTCTTGAGCAGTTGCTGTGTTAAGTATGGCACGTGGCCTAGGGAAGGCAGGGCATGTGGATGGACAGGCCCTATGATTTGCCCTGCCTCATAGGGAAGCCATTAGCCACACACAATTGTTGAGCACTTGAAATGCAGCTGGTGAAGCTAAAGAAGTGCATTTTTGTCATATTTCACTTCAATTCATTTTAGTGGGAACTTGAATAGCTGCATGTGGACAGTGGTCAGCTCAGTGGGCAGTGATGTAAGTTCCACCCCCAGGTTCCCTAGGGCAAGCCAACTTTACCTTCCACACTGAAGCTTCGCACGATGTTGGAGGCCGGAGTGGACGACTTGTCACTGGTGTACCTGTTATAGAGGTCAATCATGTACTGAGGTGGCTCCACTCTGGTTTTGTCCTGGGAAGGGACTCCACTCAGGTTGAGGCTGCGCAGGAAATCTACCTTCATGTTCTCCAGGAACATCTTCAGGTTGAAGACGCCCTCCTGATGCCCACCTCCTGGCTCTCCCACTTTGCCGTGCAGGTTTCCCACAGTAGACGCCCGGCCCCAGTTCTGCAGTGGCTTCCCCCGCACAGGGCAGGCCAGTAGAAATAGCATGGCTAGGACACTCCACACTCCTGGGGACATCTTGGGTCCTGGAGAAGAGACTACAGTGCTGTCTCCGTGTGTTACCGGTAACAGAGAGGAGCCCAGGAGGAGTGGACCTGCATTGTCCTGCTAACTGCTCTGCAGGGAGCCCTGTGGCCAGCTTGCGCTCTCCCACACTGTTCCCGGATGGTCCTCCACTTGTTCTTATCTGGCTATCAGTGTTGCTCTCCGACCTCTTATCTAATGGAGCTCTCTGTTAATGAAGGCTTTATAAACATTTGACAAACACACAGGGCTTGTGGGAAGGACATGGCTTACTGTAAAGGACTGCATTTCTCCGGGGGGTCATTGCCCCTAATTAGGATGCTTTTCATTTCCTTGCTAGCTCTGTTTAGAAGAATCCCCAGACAGAGTGACATATGCCTCATTTCTTGAACCACGGGAACAAAAAAATCCAAGAAACGTGAATGAAAAAATCTTCCAAATATAGAAACAACAACACAAAACACCCAGAAGACAACACAGACCATGGGGGCCGGGATTTGTGGGTGTGGAGTGGGATGGCATCAGGGTTAGTCAGAGAGGTCTGCTCCTTGTGGAATCAGGATCTGCCAGTGTAGCTCATTTGCTCCCTCTGCTGAGGGACCTCTGGTGCGTAGGAGATGAAATGTGAAAGTGAACTTGAACATGCATCACTTAGTGGGGTGGGGAAGGGGGGAGAGAAGTTTCTGAGCCAACACAGATCAGAGGTGAAATCCCAGCTCCCTCACTGATTCCCTGCAAGTGTGAGCTGGAGCAGGTCACTTCAGCTAAAATTTAAGCCTCTTATTAAGAAGGGTTTCAATAGACAATGTGTTCACATATGGCAGCATCCACCCAGACAGCTGGGTGGCTGCATTCTGACTGCCACCTCTGTGCAGTTTGGTTTAACTGAGTTGGAGCTGGGGAAGGAAGCCTCATGTTTCTCCCAGCTTCTCTGCAGCACCACAAACACAAGTATCCTGCTGGCTTGGAATCCCAGATCTGTCACTGGTCTGTGTGTATGTGCGTGCATGCGTGTTGGGGATTGGGGGGAGTTCTTGGCTTTTGTCAGTTGGGAGACTACCTGGACCATACCTGTCAACCAGGAGACCTGTGCAATTGGGGTGGACAGAGGAGTAGGTGGCAGTTCTGAGACTGGTACATGCCCAGAGAGAGCATGCTGCAGCCCAGGTAGGGTCTGGAAGGCCCCAAGGACAGTGTTATTTTAAGAACAGTTTGCCTGCACTTAGCCTCTGTCCATTTCCATTATAAGTGGTGTTAACCAAAGCAAAGAATGAGGACAGTTAATTTAATACTTGAGGCTGTGCATGGTGGTCCTGGAAAGAACTTGCTGTCCCCATTCTTTGGGGACATGATGAAAGAAGGAGGGGTGAAGGGCACAGCTTCAGAGATGCTGCTTGGGGAGGGGGCAGGAAGTATGCTGGGCACTGATCCAGCTCAGTGCAAGAATTCCATGGGCCAGGGAGAAGATGAGTGGATGCCAAGCCTGGGAAACAGAGCTGCAGCTGCAGAGTGGGGTGTAAGTCCTGGAGGAGCCTGAGAATGAAGAAGGCAGCCCCATCCCCATGTGCTCCAGCCCCAGGGGCTGCTGAGGATTCTTCCACATTGAAAAGGCTGAGCAAAAGAACTTCATGGGGTGGTTTGGATGTGCTCAGTGAGGTGCAAGAGGCTGCATATGACATACTTTCCCCCCAATTATGACACTGGTGTATAGCAGAGAATATTTGGGAAATGTAAAACAAAAACATAAAAATAATCTATAATCTCATCATCTTCCAGCAATGCCCAGAGTTAACTTTTGAGATATGCATAGCTCTATAATTCTCTATCTGAAACCCTGGTGGCCAGGAATGTTTTGAGATTAGGAAGTTTCAGATTGGGAAAATTTGGTATGGTGCATATGTTGTAATAGCCCCAAAGATATTACCTTTGTTTTTGCAGTGAAACAAATTCAGAAACACAAAAGTATCTATTCAGGTGAAGTTTTGCTATAGGAGTTAGAAGAAACTTAAGGGTTTCAGATAGCTTTGGATTTGGGGATCTCAGATAAAGGACTGTGGTCCTGTTTACGTAAGAGGCCATCACCTGTGGCAATGGAAGCTGCATATGCACTCTGCCTTGAGGCTCCAGTCACATAGATTGTGATGTGGGTGTCTCTCCCCAGGGCTATGCAGGGCAACATGACTGTGAGATTTCTGCCACTATCTTCCCCCTAAACTCGAGATACCGATATGTTCATATCTCCTTTATTGTTTTTAATGATTTCTTCTTGATCCATAGTATCAAGAAGTCTATTCTTTCTCTTTCTTGAATTATGCAAGTGCCCCATGGGCTTGTTTTGCCCAAAGGGGATAGGTGTGGAATGATGTCTACCCTGCATTAATGCTGAGAATGCGAATAGAGAAAAAAGTCCTACTTGATGTTGCTTCTCAGCAGTCCTGGCTTTGCTTTGAGGATAGGCCTCACCCATCTAACTGATGCTGCCTGGGCCAGATTCCTGCCCATGTCTTTGTGGTGTCCCCCATCAGGCCCCAAAGTAACAAGTGCTTCCACTTGTTCTCTGGAAGGCATGTGACTGTGGCAAGTGGCTGGGTCAAGAGAGAGGCCAGCCATGGCCACACTTGAATCCCAAGACACCTCTTTTCCACAGTCACTAGGTTCTTGTGAGGAGACTGACCCCCACTTTCCTTAGGTGGTGATTTCAGGGACCTGTTACCTTTCCTTGTTGCTCCTAGTCTGTTGAATAGGTCCCTAATTGTGAAGAGTCAAGGTTTGGGTCTTGGTTTGTCTTTCCCAGAAGATGCTAAGATTCTCATTCAAAAGGTCCCCTCCCTCCTGTCACCAGCTTTGTATTGCTAGCACATCAGAAAGGGGCTATCTTGACTTACCACAGAAAATCTTTCATACTTCCTCTTTTCCTCCTCCCCCAAACTATGTACTTTCTAAGTCTTTACTTACTTTTTCCAGGAAAGTCCAGTCACAGGATTATTCAAGGACCAAAGATCTTGGCTGGACACAGTGACTCAAGCCTATAATCCTAGCTATTCAGGAGGCAGAGATTGGGAGGATTGCAGTTTGGATGTGGTGGCATGCACCTATCATCCCAGCTATGCAGGTTAAGCACAAGCTGACCTGGGTGGCAAGACCTTTTCAAAAAATAATCAATACCCTGAGTTCAACCCCTAGACCAGAAAATAAAAAGCAGGCATAAATTTAAGACACTCCAGACTAGCATGTCTGCAATCTCTGCCTTAGATTTACTTTTGAACTCATTTAGTATATAAGGTTTGGTGCATACAGGTCTGGTTTTCTTTTTTTCAAATTATTATTACTATTATTTTTTGGCAGCACTGAGGTTTGGATGCAGGACCTTGCATGCTTGCCAGGCAGTGCTCTAATTCTTGAGCCATGCCCAGGCTACTCTTTTTGCTTTAGGTATTTTCTACTAGGGGTTCACATTTGTGTTTGGACTGGCCTGGACCACCTACTACCATCCTCCTATTTATGCTTCTTGATAACTTGGGATGACAGGTGTGCGCCACCATGAACAGCTTTTATTGGTTGAGATGGGATCTTGCTTTATGCCTGGGGTTGGCCTTGAACTGAGATCCTCCTGACCTCTGCTTTCTGAGTAGCTAGGATTATAGGCTTGAGATACCTTCCTGGCTTCTTTTTAAAAATTCTGTCATTTAGAGTTCCTTTTGTTGCAAGTTGAAGAAAAGCAGAATCCAAACAGGCTTAAGCAAAATGGATTATGGCTGACTAATAAAAATGGAAAAGATTGACAATAACTTTAGAACAGCCTGAGCTAAAGAATGGGCAAAGACCCAATGCTTTCTCCTCTCAGTCCTGCCCTCCACCATGTTGCTTGTGTGCCATCCCTGTCATGGCAAGATGATAGCAGCAGGTCTGCATCTCTTTCATGTGAGGTTGGTGGGAGAAAAAAACAAAAAACTTTTGCCAGGCATTTCAGTGAGCCCTATGGGGTCTCCTGGTCCTGATTGGATCATTTGCCTAAGCCCCAGCCAATCACTGTTGCCAGGGGAACTCAATGCCCTGATTGGCTTAGGCCCCCAGCATTGGAAGTGATGACACTTTTTTTTTTCATTTTTCTTTTATTATTCATATGTGCATACAAGGCTTGGTTCATTTCTCCCCCCTGCCCCCACCCCCTCCCTTACCACCCACTCTGCCCCCTCCCTCTCCCCCCACCCCCTCAATACCCAGCAGAAACTATTTTGCCCTTATTTCTAATTTTGTTTTAGAGAGAGTATAAGCAATAATAGGAAGGAACAAGGGTTTTTGCTGGTTGAGATAAGGACAGCTATACAGGGTATTGACTCACATTGATTTCCTGTGCGTAGGTGTTACCTTCTAGGTTAATTCTTTTTGATCTAACCTTTTCTCTAGTACCTGTTCCCCTTTTCCTATTGGCCTCAGTTGCTTTAAGGTATCTGCTTTAGTTTCTCTGCATTAAGAGCAACAAATGCTAGCTAGTTTTTTAGGTGTCTTACCTATCCTCACCCGAAGTGATGACACTTAACAGCACAGGCGTCAGGCTGAGATGATCTCCAGAGGGCTGTAGGCCTAAGCACTAGAAGAAGATGCCACTAAAGGATTGTGTAAATATTTTCCCACATCATGAAAAACTTTTCCATTTTTTAATGACTGAACACTGTCCAATTATATGAACCACCTAAGTAATGCAAACATTCTCCAACTGTAGAACAGATACACTATGTTATTCTTGTCAATATTTTATGTTGCTTTCTTAGGACAAATCATCATACATGGAATGTCTACAGCAAAGTATGTGCAAATGGGTATAAAACTCTTGGTAAACATTAGTAAACTGCTTTCCAGAAAGGTTCTCTTAATACTCATTCCCATGAGGCAAGCCTCAGAGCCCTCTCTCATCTCCACCCACCCCCAAGAGTTCTTTCTAATCTTTGGCAATTTTAAATAAAATTTATAAGAGCCAATTGTAGCCTTTTGCT